GAAACTTTTACATCAAAATGAAAATTACACAGAAATCAAACAGAAGGTAGACAGCATCACCATCCACATTAGCAGGGACCAAAATAGTGGTTTAACTGGTTTTAGCCACCATTTTCTTAATAGTTAGAGGCCTTGCTGAGTGGCCATGGCGCCCCTGCCATCACAGCTTCAATCTCACTTATTTCTCGAGGAACTTTTGTCATGTTCCGGCTACCATTGGCAGTGACAACCTAGCAATGAAGAAAGAAATGGTAAAAGTAAGAATATGACATTGCAAAAATCAGGGAATACCATGTAGCAGAACCAAGTGACAAGATATGCTGTATAACATGTATGGCATGTCAAACTTCTAGCTGGTCAAAGACTGACGACTAACATTAACATGCTAACTTTTTATAGCACATTTTGAAGACTCACAAACACTTGAAGGTTAAGCTCAGGTTTAGGATGAAACTAACAATTTTCAGTGAGATCTGGTTAATTTAGGTTGTTTGTGCTGCATAAACAGATTCAGGGAGAAACTTTTTAATCAGTAGATTGTGCAAGGACGGTATGACTTTTATAAAAGGCAGAACGCAACGCCTCCCAAGAATCATTTCACAAAACATACTATGACACCATTTTCGTTCAGAAAGAGTAGAGAAGGTTACAAGACAAGATTGGAGATACTACTATCACTAACGACACCCAATATTCACTAATGCTGAGATCATGCATGAGCAATTTATTCCACAAACATGCATGAATGTTATTATGGGTCATTGTGAGTGACCATATGATATATTTTATGATACGGTTTGAAACATAAAAAAGCATGAGCAAAATAAATATATGACATCCACTTCAGGCAAGGAAATACTAAAAAAATTGAAAAGAAAGGCAAGGAACATTCTTGCACTTAAATAAATATGAGCAACAAATAACATACCACATCACTTTCAATTCGAACACCACCAAAATTTTTGAATCTACCAATTATTTGGTCATTGAAAAACTTGGAAGTGTTTGCATTATCCATAGCTGGAACTGACAATGCATCAATAATATAGCATCCTGGCTCCACTGTGATCACCTACAACATAAGATCCAAGCTTAGTATGTTTCCTCAATGCCCAAATAATTTGTTCCACCATAAACACAGCGCTATAAATGTGTTTGAAACACTGACCAATGTACAAAGAGATCAATCATCCAGTATACATGATTTGACCATAGACCATAGTTCTAAATGTAGAGAATTATTACAACTCCAACATGTATCACTTACCATTCCTTCCTGGAGTTCTCTGATTGTACGTAAAGACTTCAAACCAGGTTCTTTTGGTCTTTCCAATCCCTGCAAAATTTTCTTCTTAGGATATAAAAGATATACAAGTCAAGCTACTCATATGTAAAGAAAAAATTAAAATATGAGCAGGAACCAACTACGTAAGCAGATGCTGGCAAAAAAAAAAAAAAAACTCCATGAGCATATAAGTTAATTACAAAGACCTTGGGATAGCCACCAGGATCATGAGTATCAATACCCAAGAAATGGCCCAAACCATGAGGCATAAAAACAGCCCCCAATCTTGCAACCATCATCTCATCAACATCCCTAGGATAGAAGCAGAAATTGGCAGCTAAATATAAGTTTATATTTTTTTTCTAAAAATTTGTAAGTTTAGAATGAAAGAAAGGAGCATGTCATTAAGAGAATAGAAGTTACCCTATAAGGATACCTCCCTCCTTCAGTGACTGCAGAATAATTTTCTCTGCTAATCTGGAACAAGGAAACAGAAATCAGAGACAAAGTTGAAGGCATCAAAATTCAAATCAATAAAAACTATGAACATGGTGTGGCAATTAAACTATTAAATAAACATCAAACACCTTAGGAGCTAAGATTGCCATTATATACGGGTAATGCAATAATAAATGCCATGCACAGTCTAGGCACTCTTGCAATTATTGAACATTCACTCAAGTTTCTGAGGTATCAAACCAAACCAACATGATAGACACTGCATCAAATACATATAACCTTCATATATTATCCATCTCCAGCTACTATTACTCTGATTCTGATAATTTTTTTTACCATTTTTCTTGTAATTACCACAAAATTCTTCCCAAACATTTTGATTAACATAAAACTGTATAGTTTTTCAATAATTATTGTCACCTTCTCTTTCATCATTTATCATTATCATCATGTCCAAAAACAGTATGGTCTCCCAGAAAATATTTTGGCCCAAGTCTAGCAGCTGAATGTGTTCCCTTTCACCATGATTAATTATATATTCTTGCTAATATATAAACAAGTTCACTTCTTAGAGACTTGGTCTCCAGAAAATAAACAATTTCATCATTCATCATTATCATCAATTTGTCCCAAAGGAGTCTAGTAGAAAATATATTTCCCCTAGTCCTGCTTTTTTAATTTGCACCATTTAAACATGATCATT